TAAAATATGTTAATTATTTAATGTGTATAATGCTTGTGACGCTTGTGTGTTAAAATATGTTATTTAATCGTTTTAAGTATTTCACCGTACTATATTCTAATAAACGTGAAAGAATATTCTAATCTTCATGCAAATATAATAATATAATGATAATAAATAATTTTATCAGCATATCATATGTGTTGATTATGTTGAAATTAGTTTATTKGTAACTAATTAGTTGAAGGTGCATGAATTTCGAATAAATTACATTATATATTTAAAATTAACACTTTTGACGATACACCTTAATATATTCACGAAAATATTTTGAAAGCATTGTCATAGTTTTGTTATCACGAAAAAAAATAGTTTATACTGTTAATACGATTTAATATATTCTATTCGCAAATTTTGTATAGGTGCTTAATGTAGCTTATGCACTTATTTTTAAGTTATTTTTCATATTATTATTTTTTAATTTCAATTCCATAACAAGAAATGTATTTATTTTAATTTAATACCTTTAATATGTAGGTAATTTGTTATTTTTTTTTATTCGTTATTTTGTTTCAAAAWCTATACCTATATTTTTGTTTGAGGAATAAACATTTTAAAAGTGATAAAAATTTATATTATTCCAATTTCACTCATGATATTATTTTTCAATGCTATTGTTTAAAATATAGTATATACATTCAATTTCTATAATATGTTTTCAATATATATTAATTTTAACCTATTATAACCTAATCTATATTGCAGTTCTTATTTATCATTTATCTCCCTATAAAAATATAATCTAAACAATGTACCGATTAAGTGTTACATAATATTATTATGACTATACAAGCTATTATTTAATTTTAATAATGTTTATTACTACTGTCCATAATTTGCTGTATTTTATAGTTGATTAGAGCAGAGAATATTATACTGTAGGTCATACATATTATGATAAGGATATGACGAACACATTTATTAGTGTTCAAAATATACTATAATAATTATTTTTAGTTCAATAATACATTTCTCGCGAAACGGTTATTTTTCGASCACTGAAAAAACATGAAAACATCGCCAAGACACAGAGTTGAACCGGAAATATCCGAGACGATGAAAGATGCAACAATGACCAAAACAAATTTAAAAGGGGATTGGAAAAACTTTTTTTTGTTATTATTACTGTACACAATGCAAGGCTTGCCTTTAGGCATAGCYATGTCTATAACGGTACTATTACAAGCCAACAAAAATGTGACGTACAAAGATCAGGTAAACCAAAAATAATAAYACAGTCTTTATGATTAYAAATATTAGTCTATTATGGTAAATCCACAAAATTCTCCATTTTKATAAATAATAATGTTTTATTTCAGGCATTATACAGTTTAACGAGATGGCCATTTAGCTTGAAACTCTTGTGGGCACCGCTAGTAGATGCACTATATGTACAAAAATTTGGAAGGCGAAAGTCTTGGCTAATGCCTGTTCAATATTTAATCGGTATATAAATAATTTTAAATTAATATTATTGTTATAATCTATAAAAAATGCTATAATACTTAYACTTAAATTTATAGAATCCTGTTTTCGAACAAGTTTATATGTATATGAGTTTGTAGACATTTTAAATTATTATTAACTGAAAAATTTTCTTTCAATGAAATAATGAGATGGGTAAATAGTAATTGCTAATAACTTCTTATAGACTAAATGATTAATGTTTTAAATCACTAACTTTTTTAATATATCATATTATATTGTTAACAGGAGCGATTTTGATTTATGCAGCCAGTGACATTGAGAACTTGCTACCCGAAACTGGAAAACCAAACATCATGATGCTAGCGTACATTTTCTTCATGATAAACTTCTTAGCCGCTACCCAGGATATAGCAGTGGATGGTTGGGCTCTTACAATGCTGAAAAAGTGTGTGTTAAAATATATCACCAATCATAATTATGAATATGAAAACGACTATATTGTCTATATCACATACAAATTTTTTTTACAGGAATAATGTAGGCTATGCGTCCATTTGCAATGCATCAGGGCAAACAATAGGTAGTATGATAGGTTCCATGGTACTCATTCTGTTTACGTCTGAAAAGTTTTCTAATAAATACTTACGAAGCACACCTGATGTTGGAGGCATAGTCTCTGTGAAAAGTAATTGAGTTATTTATTATGTTAACTGTCAAGTMTAGTAGTTTCATCAAAATTACAAACTCAAAAATAATTTTTATTAATTTCGAACGTCACACCGCGCGTGCATGCCTATAATTTAGTTAAAATAAAATAAAACACAGAAAAATTACAAATACGCGTACGTGTACAGAAAAAATAAATATAATATATAGGAAATAATATCAATTAAAATTTGTGATTTATAACATACAAGAGTGAAATATGTTTTAATTTGTTTGTTTATAGCGTTTTTAATGAATACAAAGTGATTTAATATTTAACAAAACAAATATTATCCCCTAGATCAATATAAAAATATTTCTTTAATCGGTACAATGTACATAAGATTATTTCCGTACAGATGAGATATTGAWGAATGATTTTTAAATTCTGGCAGATRGAAMTGGAAAATATTGATTTTATAATCGACGTGTTTATGTACTACATATCTCTTGACATTTTGGAGCAAAACATTWGATTAAAATGTCAACGTTTAAAAAGGTTTCTGTAAACAAATATCATCTAATATGTAATGTCTTGTAAAAGGGAGTCAAAAGTAAGGAGTTGCATARATTACTGRATATGATAGTACTCTCACTAATTAATGATGAAAAAATACTACTATCCAACTGGGGGGAGATAATGATAAATACATGGAAAAATAGGAATATTTACGAACAATTATATTTTACTACACTGGTTTAGTTTTTATGACTAATATTATTCTGAAAGGAATAACCTCAGAAACTTAATATCTKTCAAGATCATAAGTATTTGTGAATTATTTTATATTTAAAAATGCATTACCTAATTTATATACGATAGATTGTATAAATTAAAAAACAAAAAAAATTGTATTAAACGTGCTGTTTTTGATGTGAAACATCTAATGCGCGGTGGGTGAAACCGTTTGTCAGCATGGCGACGACGTTGCAACCGGTGGCGAAACGCATAATGCTGGCAACGCGAGTGTCACCACACGTTCAAAATGTCTAGGTACCTATAAAATTATAATACGCATTTAAAATAAAGAATTATTTTCGATATTTCTCGTCTGCCAGGTGTCTCGCGATGGCTCATTTTTGTAATCTTCACTCACAATTGCAATAATTTATAGTTTGTAAACTAAATAATATTATTTACTAAATGTATATTATAATAAACTATTCAATTTGTATAGACTTATTATACGGCTGGGGAATAATATTCATAATAATAACAACATTAGTTGGTGTATTCAAAAAAGAAAAAGATAATGCATTTGATGATGATCATGAAAAAATCAAWGTGGTTCAAAATTATATACTATTATGGGACATATTAAAGTTACCTAGTATTCGAATACTGGCTGTAATATTAATAACTTCAAAGGTAATTATAATATAAATGGTTTTTTAAATTATTGTAATAGTTAATTTTATATGAAAAAAAATATTGGTTCCAATTTAATATTGTATTTTCTAGCAACCACAGCCCACAGGTATCATTTAAAGTCTATAACATTGAGAACTTAACTCGCCAATCTTGTATATTATTTATTATTATTTTTGTATTTATCAAAGATTGGATATGCTGCAACTGAAAATGTGTCTACCTTAAAGCTCATCGACGCAGGTGTTTCAAAAGAAGACATATCAATAATAGATTCAGTGATGTCTGGAGTTAACACTATTATACCATTCATCATAGGGAAATACACTTCAGGTCCAAAACCGATGAGCTTATTCTTGAAAATTGTACCCATCAGGTAATTGTAATAAAATAAAATTAAAGTGCTAGTTACAATAAATATTTACATATTTGTATACTACATAATATATAGCAATATAATATCCGTAGCATAATACATTAACAATAATATGACCGTTTTTGACCGATGTGGATTGTTCCGACTATCAACGGAAACATAGGAAATAATTTATTGCAAAAATGACTTGTCCCCAATCATAATTATCGAACATCTACCACCGACCACGATTTTAATTTTTTTCTATATAACCATTATCAGTCCACAGCGACCGATAGGTACCGACTCTGTACTTCATCTGCCTAATACTTATAATGAGAGAATATCTCGGAAGAGTCGATATGAAATCGTACTCGCCGCCTCTCCAGATCAACCCAAATGAGTCGTAAGATGGTTTTTTTGTTTTGCTTTATTCTGCATATAACCCAATACGGTATGTGCCATGACGTATAAAAAAAATTAACTGATTATACCTACTTTTTCGTGTTTAATGCATGCCCATGTTTAAACCAATTAAATCTTCATCACAATATACAGATAAACAGTATTTCATTTATTCGAGCATCAATATTGTGTATGTTGATCCGTCCGCCCAATACAACCATTCAGGACAGACCGCCTCACACTCATATAATCCATAAACATAATGTTGTTATTTATATCATATTATCATATCAGTTATTAAATATTATTGTATTTGATGACTTACTTCCATAACTGAATTGACAAAAAACTGTTTTAGTAGATAATATTATTCAGTAAAATAAACACTGACTTAAGGGCATTAAGCACACGCACACGTCTAACTTAAAACCCGCGTCGAATCTTTTAAATGCACTTAATATCAACATTGGTATTTATTTTATAGATATAAAGCTACAAATACCTATTTTATGAAGAATTTTAATTTATAATTATATATTGTTAAAATCTATATTTTAGATTATCTTTAAACATTGGATTTGTTATGCTAATTTATTGTACGCCAAAATTGATAACATTCAATGAAGTAAATACTTCAATATATTACTATCCACTTCTCGTGTTTCTATTATCAATACAACAAGTGAGTTAAAAACTTCAATAGGTATCAATACTTTAAAATATGTTACAATATAGGCATTGTCTTCTGGAAGGTCTGCGTGGCATGCACACTGCTGCGATGTCGGTAGAAGCAACCAACAAATTCAGCAGGACGTAATTTATTACCACCGCGGCAGTTTGTGCAGACTGCAGACCTTCAGCAGAAGATAAGCGTTATTAATGGAGATGAATAAGTGGTATTGGGATGTTTAATTAATAATTATACAGATTTGGTTTAATTATTTTTTATAAATATTTATAAAAATTAATTAAGGTAACTCTGCAATTAATAATCTTTATGTATGTAATTTATAGATTCTATCTCACATAATGTTTGTTGCTACCTTAGCTTTTTTTTCCCGGATAAGTGATCCTCGTTTTGGATGTACTTATATGACATTTTTGAATACTCTTGCAAATTTGGCATATATGTGGACGTCTACTGCTGCGCTGGGAATGATTGATATATTGACGTTCAAGGAATGTTCATTGGATTCTAAAAATAACTGTTCTACCCTAGATCTTCAAAATGTAAGATATTATAAAATTTTAATTACATAAAATTATTTTATAAAATTAAAATTTATGAAAATACTACATTACTCTTTTTGAAAGCAATTACTAGCTATTTGCAAAAATATTTGACGGACTAATATTTCATTAAATTTAGTTTATTTATGTAAATTCAATACTAGCTTGTAAAATGTGTATTATTCCTGTTTCATTATTGCCTAATAATAACTCACATTGGTTGTACCCATTCAACTTCCATTGAAAACTATTGAATGATGGTCATTTTAAACTATAAAGAGGGTAGTAGGTAATCGCTCTTTTATACAGTAGATGGCGATTGTACCTTATCATTGAGTAAGCCGGATTCCCACGACTGGTGTATTTGGCCAATATTTGGCACTGGTGGTTACTTGCCATGCCGTCGGATCGCCATACTTGTACAATTATTTGTCACTGGTGTCGTTCCYGGCGATTGTCGGTAAATGTGACACAAGTCAAAGGAACGGCCAATATACTTGTATTATTGATCCCACGACCGGTTCGTATAACAGCCAGCAATGGGAACAGACAACAGTGTACTTGGCTACTTGCACTAGTGCTCCGGTATTGGCGTACTTGTCAAGTACGCCAGACGTGTGAGCACCATATTCGTGCACTGGTCAAATGTACAATTATTGGCGTATTTGGCAAGTACACCAGTCGTGGGAATCCGGCTTAACGTATGTGTTAAATTTGAATTTAATGATAAATCTTAAACACGAAAAGCGATTCTGAGCGAAGACGTCTGTCAGCATATAGACTATAATCTGTATAATTAAGTTTACCTTTGGATATTGGCTACCAAAATAATTTATCTTACTATTAGGTAGTTATACATTAGACTGAATTAAATTTTTCCAAAAACATTACATTTATTACATTATTATTATCTAATTATTTTAATAATATATATTAATTTTATAATATATTATTATTATTACGAACTTATTTGTCAAAAGTCAATACCAAATAGGACAGTGTCAAAGTGTTAGAAGGTTTTTAGTACAATATAAAATTCAGTTTAGTGAATAAATAGGCAATAGCTTAAAACTAATCTAAATGTTTTGAAAATTCTATTGTTTATACAAAATTGTATATCCAAGATATGCCACAAAACATATTTTTGAATTTCAACTAGTTTCGTCCAAATTTCACAATTATTAGGAAAAGTATTGAGAATTTTTTTCCTACCCCAAAATATTAAATAATATAGTTAAGTTAAAAATTGAAGTATTTTATTACAGTACAAATTACAAGTGTTTCAATAATAAAAAAAAAAAACACAAAAAGACTCATCATTGTGAAATTTTACTACATATTTCGGCTCTTCGCTCCGTTTAAAATCTAAAATCTAAATTTAATTGTAATGAACATTTTTTTAGCTATATTTACTAAAACATTAAATTAATATTTGACTATTAATAATAAAAACATTTTAATTCATATTTTATAGTTGACAACAATTAAGTAGATACTCTTTTTTGAAGTGGTTAATATTTTTATTGCATAACTATTATAATGTGTATTATGTTATTTATTTAGATGTGTAAAGCAGATAAAGGTGATTGTATTCTAACAGTGGATGGCTATTACATAGAAATGCTTATATGCACCATCATTGGAATTATTTGGTATTTTTCTGTTAAAAATACACTCAAAACATTTCAAACTAAGAATCCTTCTCATTGGCTAGTTAAAATTAAGAGAACAGTAACGGGGAATGAGTAAAGGTAAAAATGAATATTCCATGACTGTGATGTATTGATTTATAGAATATAGTTTTAATTTCTATTATGATGATTGGGTGAAAATATATAATTTATTATGATTAACTGTATTCGGATATGATATGGTTTGAAGTTTAAGTTTTTCAAGTATTTATCAGTAACAATAACGACTACAAAGTATTAAACATAATGTTTTCATAGGAAAGGGACATGTTCCAGTAAATGTTTAAGCGTGGCCGTTTAGATGTAAACGTTTTGGTATAAGAATTTGGCAGCATCCTATTTGCCCAGCGGCCCAGGAACTTTAAGTGTATTTATTTTGATATTTAAAACTAATTTAACAATATAAAAATTATCAAAACTTATGATGAACTTTATTATTGTTGATTATTACCTACATAGTTAACCTATTTTGTACAATTTCTATGATTTGTATCAAGACTTAATATATTTTTGCTATTGTTGTGGTAATATTATCCATATGTGTGTATATTATATAAAAAAAAGCTTAAGATTCCGTAAAAGATCTACCTTAAAGAAAATATCTGAAAAGTATCTTTTACAAGACTGTCCTCAAGTGACTTCAGAATAATCATTCTATGATGCAATTAATAGCTATTAGTTTAATGAGATTAAAAATCAGAATAGACTGAAGTACGTTATTATAATAACATTTTATATTTTTAAATTTCGTGTCCCTATGGACATAGACTTATACAGTGATAAAGGATTGTTAAATTAAATGATCAACACTATTTCAATAATGAAATATTTATGAATGCTTAATTGTATATGCATTACAATTTATAACGATTTATCGTTGAATATATATTTTCCAAAAAGACATAAACTGTTCGTATTTTATATTTTACCATTTTGAATTAACAACTGACACATCAGCTACGCAATTTTTAATCATAACCTTCTTCTGGAAAAGTCCAGAAAAGAGTACATTTTTAGAAGCGGAATTAATATCTTTATTTTAGATTTCTTAGTTTTTTTTTACCCTTCTGGATCTAACTATATGAGTTTTCGTGGCACACAATTTAAATATATATATATATATATTTATTTTCTATTTTTTATTTATTCATTTATTCAGCCAAAACAATTACTATTAAATAATTACAATAAAATACATTAATAATAGTAGCTGATAAGAATACCAACTGAGCTAAAAGTTTGTATCTGATATACGGAGTTTAACGATATTACTTAATTCGTTCAAAATAAGTATATTGAAATATATTATTATACATAATACTTATTATTAGGGACCGAATTTCAATACAAAGTGCATATTTCTTTGGTTGATCTTAGACAATGCTTTCCAAGTACATAATTTGTTTCATGTAACGAGTATTTCAAAGCTAAAA